ATACAAGGGTTATTAGTAATTAGATTTTTTATGCTTTTTAAGTTCATAAAATGATGATCGTATTATATTCGAGATTGTATTATAATGAATAAATAGGTAAGTAACTTTGTTTATATATCACCTTTCACAGTCAAATGGCCACAAGGTGCTTCGCAACAACAATAACAATAAAAAGCATAAAACATATTTACAGATGATAAGAAAACAACAAGAAAACAACATAAAAGACAACATAAAACTCATACAAACATGTTAAAAAGTCTGTTTTAAAAAGTACCTTTTAAGCTGCCTTTTAAAAGTCTTCCCAGAGTCCACAGCTCTTATTGTGGGAATGAGTTCCAAAGTTTGGGAGCTACAACCTGAAACGCCCTGTCCCCACTTGTCAGAGGTTTTAGTAAAGAAAAACAAGTTGGTGTTTTGTCATCCTGCACAGGACGGATCATGTTGGTACCATCAATAAATGTTAAGAAATCTTAAGCTTTTAATTGCAAAAGTTATATTTTCTTACCTGACTGAAAGACTTGTTATTGAATGTTTGTTCTTTTGAAAAATTTTCAAAAAAAAAATGTCATCATATATTTTATAAAATAATGAGAAATTATATTTTACTTCAGTTGTATTATATTCACTCAAAATTAAGTTAAAAACTTTGGTTTCTGCTCTGACTTGCTTTAAAAGAATTGGCAAAAATCGTTCGTTTACAGATTTGCAACGACGCCATTTTGYACAGTTTTACTTTCTGATTCAACTGCTTGACGTTGAACGTTTGGATGTAAAAACAGCTTTTTGCCAAGRYTCTTAGGTTTCTACTGATACCAAACATGCAGGTTGAACTGACAGATCTTAAGTTAACATAAGTCAAAAGAAATAAAACAAACCAGGAAAAGTTGTTTTGTGTGGGGCTCGAGAGCTTAAAAAGGTAATGGCAACAAATAAAACAAAGATCTTTTGCTATTAGAGCTCAAACCGTGGGATGACTGTCACCCCATCATGTTTTAGTTCAACATCTTAGTACTGACAGTTATTTTAATAACAGACAGACAAGACTCGACAACAAAAATATAGACATAAACCCACAAATATTTCTTTTTTAAACATGGCCACAAATCACAAACTTTTGCTCTGCTGGCTGTGACTGTTTGCCACCTCCTTTGCTGTCAGCTAGCATGCAGCCAGCAGCCGGGCTTCCCCTGATGCGGCACATCAACCAATCAGAGAGACTCCACTGTGTGACATAGTGACAGATTTTCCGACTGGACAGTTTCCTGAATGATGTCCACCAACCTGAGACAGATGGACAGGAGCTCTTTAGCTGAAATCAAGTGCCTGTAGTCCTGGCAGGAGATATCAGCACCRATGCGGGTCAGTGGCTCATCMAACTGGGCTCGGGACAAAAGTAGTTCTGAAAGTGAGCCTCGTTAGCTCGCAGCTCCTGGGTGGTGAAGCTCACCAAACTCAGAACGTCTCTGAATTTTCTGGTGAATTAATTATGAATTAATTATCTCATGAGCATGATGTTGTAAGAAATATTCGTGTTCAAAGACTGAAGTCACTAGAAAACCACCAATGTTAAAATGATTGTTAGACGGGATAAAACCATACAAAACCAGAATTCTGGAGTGAGGATTTATTGCTATTYGGATCTGACAGGAAACCACACACTGCCCGTAAACCAGGAAATTGATCCATTTATAGAGTCTTCAATGCCCGCGTTCGCCCCCTACTGACCTACGGCTGAATCACGGGCATTCATACACAATTCTCACCTACTGTTCTCATAACGGAGAACAGTAGGTGAAAAGTTATTTCGGACATGTAACTAATCTATATCAATTAACACATAATAGATTGAACATTATAAAAAGGAAAACCTAAAAATATAGTTTTGTGCTTTTAMCATCAGTAGTAAACTCTAATAACTATAAATGTCTTCAATGTGCTCTTGTTCTTAGTAAATAAAGCAAAGCCACTTCCTTTATTTTATCCGCCATTGTACAGAGACCAGCAGAGGAGGGGAAAAAGGCTCTTGACGTACGGCAAGCGTCTAAATAAGCGTCGTGCACAAGCCTCCAACTTGAAGCGTTGGACGCGATTTTGACTCTCAAAGCGCGTTTGGTGTGAACGCACCATAACTCTGAGCCCGGTCAGCCTACGAAGGAAACTCATTTTGGCCGCTTGTATCCAAGATCTCATTCTTTTGGTCAGGATCCACGCCTCAGGACCATAAGTGAGGGATGGAACGTAGACAGACCAGTCAATCGAGAGCTTCACCATAACTGACCGAAGCAACGCCCTCGTCACTGCGGACAAGGCCCCAATCAATTGATCCATCTCCCGCTCCGCCCTACCATCACTCGTGAACAAGACACCCAGATATTTAAACGCCTCCACTTGAGGCAGAGACTCTCCCCCAGCCAGGACGGGGCATTCCACCCTTTTCTGGTCAAGAACCATGGCTTCGGACTTCGAGGGACTGACTCTCATCTCAGCTTCTTCACACTGAAGGTCTTGGACCAAAGACGCCAACAGGACATCATTAACATAAAACAGAGACGAGACCCTGTGGTTCCCAAAGCAGACACCCTCCTCTCCACATGTGCCTTGAGGTCCCGTCCATATACACTACAAACAAGAGCAGAGAGTAGCATGCAATAAATTAGCTGTGATTTTCACAAATCGGCTGCTTGAAACATACAGTTAGCTGCATGGCTTGCTGTTTGTTTGGATCCAAACAGAAAATTAACCTTTTTTTTCTCACAATGCAGCACTTCAAATAGGCCACGCTTTGGAATTCAACTGATTAGATTGTTTTCATCCTTGTTGTTTCTGCTTCACTGGACTTGCTTGAAACCTTTGTCCTTTTGTAAGACTTAAATTGGTCCAAATTTTAACTGTGGGACGAAGGTCTTAATGTTCAACTAAATCCTGGCCTTACACGTCTTTCCACATTTATGAGGAGGAAAACACCTGAATTCTTCAGGACAATCAATTCCATGAAGCCTTTGCTTTTATGCCCTCACACTTTTTTAATGATGAGTTAATTAAGTGTATTTAATTAGCAAAACCTGAATCAATTATCATGTTAATTAMAATGAAAGCAATTTTTTGGTTTTTCGCACTGGTTTGTTTTTATTCCTTGCTCTCCTTTTCATTTGTTGGTCCAYGATTATGTTACTTTATAAGCACCTAATAAAACACAGGTTGCTTAAAGGGGTTTGTTGGTGCTAACTTTGCCATGTTTGCATTATCTTGATTAATTATTTTGTCCCATCTTTAGGTGAATAAAGGAGTAACTGCAGTAGACGTGTTCTCATTCGCCAAAGAACTTGAATCTCAAACAGACCTTATGGTAAGAACAATAACATTCACTGTTTCAAGTATTGTTTTTTTTTTCTTTTCCCTTCACAAAACCCTGATCTAATTTACCTATTAGCAGAGATGTTCTTGTTACACGAGCACTTCACCTACAAAGAGAGTTTTTATGATGTTTGACTGCTCTCAGGCTTTTAGCYAACACATTTATTCACCTGCAGAATGGAGATAAAAGACTTTCAAAGCAGGAATCCACTCATGGTCCCAGTTTGTGTTCTTGCASACTCCCCTGCCATTGATGATAAAATATATGGAAAATGAATAAAAGCATTTGCTTTATGGCGGCACTGCTTCTAGGATCTGATGGATGAGTAAATGGGGAAAAAGTATAATGTGTAGGGATGTTATAAATGCACGACCCTGGTGTTCATTCAAGCCTTTGGTAAAACATAAGGATGACTTGTTTTGTCTGTGATTTTCAGCCCAGGGGACCCCTGCAGACTGCCCTGAAAGCCCATGTCAGCACTCTGCAGCAGATCCACAGACAACAGATTGTTCCGATGGAACAAGCCATGGTAACATATCCTCTGTTCAGATTACAGCTGAATTTATTTATTTACTTTTATTTTTATTTTTTGGGTTAAACTAGCTCGTTTTAGCCATCCGTTCTAAACGACAGARAAATAATGCACAAATATTTACCAATATTTTTCTTTTACCACTCGGTTAAAGTTCCTGTGACATGCATATTCTTCAAATACAAAACATTAAAGAAAACATCTTTATATTTAAGAAAGTTGGAATAAAACACACGATTTAACCCATTTTGTTCCATAACTGGCATATTTTTTTTACTTGGCTCAGTCAAAGTGAAACAGGAAGTGACATCAAAGGGGAACTCTTTAACAAAGAAACAACTCTGGTCTTTGTTTAATGAAACAATACTATTCGAACTATGTCTCTCTTTGATAGTGACTTAAAATAATCTTAAGAAACATCAGATTGTTCTCTACAGTCTGTGTTGTTAGCCATATTGCAAACACTCTGTTCACATTCAGACATTCCCCTTCGACATCACTTCCTGTTACTTCACAGGCAAATATCTCAACAACTGCTCATCTCAGTGACATCAAATGTTTTTTGCAATATTTTATCAATGTCATCTTTTCAAAAAAGCATTCATACGTTTTGCAAAAATTTGACGTCACAGGCACTTTAAAGGGGACAAATCCTGCAAAATCCACTCTTTAAGCTGTTAAATGCGTTTTGTTGTGGACTTGGAGTCTCTAGGAGGCAGAAAAGTTGAATTTAGTCTCTTCTGGTGCTGCAAAGATATCTTTATATTCTGTTTGGTATATATTTTTCAGSCTGTTCAGTTTTCTATTTTTTCTATGACGTTTTCTGAAATATTACGTCAAATTATCTGCGATGGAATTGCCATATAAGGCAGGGGTGGGCAATTATTTTTTTCCGGGGATCACATGAGAAACTTGAGCTATGTTGGAGGGCCGAAACCAACAATACCTTTGTATATAATTCTGCTTAATAGTCATCTTTTTTTTTACCCATTGTAAATAGCAGTAAATTATAT